CGTCTCTCCTTGCAGGCAGCAGCATAGCTGTGAAGAAGCTGTGTGAGCTGCAGGTCGCGGAGAAGTGCTGCATCGTGGGAACCCTCTTCAAGTCCATGCAGCTGCAGCCCTCCATCCTGCGGGAGATCAGCGAGGAGGTAGTGACCCCCGGAGGGGCCCAGGGCCTCGGCACAGGCTGGGCAACCCCCTCCTCACCTGCCTGCCTCTCCTTGCAGGCAGCAGCATAGCTGTGAAGAAGCTGTGTGAGCTGCAGGTCGCGGAGAAGTGCTGCATCGTGGGAACCCTCTTCAAGTCCATGCAGCTGCAGCCCTCCATCCTGCGGGAGATCAGCGAGGAGGTAGTGACCCCCGGAGGGGCCCAGGGCCTCGGCACAGGCTGGGCAACCCCCTCCTCACCTGCCTGCTCTCGGCACAGGGGCCCGGGCGGGGCAGAGCACAGCGAATGCTGAGCCATCCTGACAGGAGCCTGGCCTGTGTTTGCACTACAGAGCCCCGGCTCTCTGTGCTCCGTCCTGCTTTGTCCGCCCAGCCACGCCGGCTGAGTTCCTCCCTGTGCGGGGAGTCTGACGGCGCTTGGTGCTGCGTCCTCCCCCTGCCGGGCGCTTGGCTTGGGCGGGGAGCAAGACCCTTTCAAACAGGTGCCTGAGACGGTGCAAACACTGCGGGGGGGGCAGGGATAGCAGCTGGAACTGCTTCCACCCCCTCTCCTTTGTAAATGCACCCTCACGGGCTCACTGCTTCCCCCCCGTCTGGTGTCTCAGGGCAGCTCCAGGGGCCTTGACTTCTCCTGCCCTCGGACTGGCCCCTGGGCTGCGGACCGACCTGTGACCCAGTGGGTCCAGCTAGCTTTGGCACCTGCCCCTCTTCCCTTTGGGGCTTGTGAGCAGTAGCGTTCAGCGACCCCCAGCAGCCTCTGACTGCAGGCACAGAGCAAGGCTGGGAAAAGGGGATTCAGACGACACCCGTCTGGCTGGCGACTTTTGTTCTATGGATTCCACCCGGAACCCATCCTCCCTTGGCAGGCTAGTCAGACTCGCTCTGCATGGGGCTGGGGGCAGAAGTTACTAGTCCTGGCCATCCCCTGGGCTGGCCGTCACTTGCCTGGCTGTAAACAGCCTCGTTGGCAAAGGACCCCGCACTGACAGAGCCTGTCCCTTGGCAGGAGCAGAGCCGATTGTTTTTGTAAATACGGCCACGGTTTTGGCACAGGAAGTTTTAGTAAATTTCACAGCTGGAAGCAGCAGCGAGTCCCGGAGAGGAGGAGGAGGAGGGTGGGAAAGTGAGTCCACCCTGCACTCACGGGGCTTCTGTCCCGCCAGGCCGGCCCCACTGCCCGCTCTGGGCATTGCGGCCTGACGTGTGTGACTGCAGCGCCACGGAGGCTTGCCACGGCCCCCCCGTAGCTGGAGATAGAGACAGGCCACGTTTGGTTGCATTCTACAGGGGCAGGTGGCCGCACCAAACCTGAGTGGCCCGGAGAGCCCATAGCCCGTGACAGCCTCAAAGGGCGGAGCGTGGGACGGGCTCGAGTCGCAAGAACAGCACAACTCGTGCGCCAGAATCGCAGCTGTATTCGCAAACAGTCCCCGGCAGCGCCAAATCCCTCCCTGTCCCATCCAGATTCCTTGGCCCGGGGCTCAGCCCCTGTGGAGGGGAAGATCTTTGCTCAGGAGTAAAGCTTGCAGCCTTTCTGCCAAGGCCAGTCGAGCCGCGGCGCTCTCCCCCGAGCCCGGATTGCAAACACATGTTCTGAGGCCGTACCAGCGGGGTGAGTAACACCCCTGGGTAGGTCTCAGCCATTGTTTGCATGTCCTCCGAAGCCATGTGTCAATGATCATTTGCACCTGGGGGGCAAAGCCTGCTGCCGAGAGCCTGGGCTGTCCCTGCAGCTCCCGCAAAGCAGGGTGATGGCTCCGCTCTCCCCCGAGCCCGGATTGCAAACACATGTTCTGAGGCCGTACCAGCGGGGTGAGTAACACCCCTGGGTAGGTCTCAGCCATTGTTTGCATGTCCTCCGAAGCCATGTGTCAATGATCATTTGCACCTGGGGGGCAAAGCCTGCTGCCGAGAGCCTGGGCTGTCCCTGCAGCTCCCGCAAAGCAGGGTGATGGCTCCGGACCGCAGCTCGGCCTTCCCAGGAGAGCCAGGGCGCTCGGGTTCC